AAGAGCAGGCAAAACAGTAAAACATCTCTCAAATGGAAGATTCCCAACATGTTTCCTAAACTAAATGCAGAACTATATGGTATCACCATCAAGCCAGTTGTGGTTAGAGTACAAGTGGGAGGAAACTTCCACTCAGTACTATATCTTGCTAAGAATAGAAATTATCTAAATAAAACCAAACGAAAAAACCCCAAACCCTTTTGTGATAGTGTGATTAGTGTTTCAGCACGCTCGGAAATCAATCCAAATCTATTTTCCCATGTTTTGTCTACTTATCTGTCTTATCACGTCTCACCATACTCTTCAAAACCTGACACTTTTACAAAAAGTAAGTGAATATGGTGGCATGTATGGCAAGGAAGCCCCCTTATTCATTTTACAGAGGCTGTGGATATTAACTATTTCAAGGCAAGATTTCATACTGGCAGGCACAAAAGAGTGATAGAAGAGTGCACCACACTCTGGCACAGCTATGCCAGAGGTAGCCTCAGGAATCCTGTGCCATGTTTGCACGGTGGGTTGATACTTCCATTCAAATGGTCCACTGCCCACCAGAATGGTCAATGTGTGATTTCTCCTACTAAGTAAGGCTGCACATCTCCAGCTTGTGTTACCTTCTTTGCAGGTTGGCCCCATCCACGTGGCTGGACATACACAGTTCCCATTGTATGGATTGCACTGAGATTTGTTGGCACACTGGCATCGCAGGGAGCAGTCAGGGCCGTACTGGTCTGACCTGCATCCTGGAAGAACAGAAACGTTTGGAAGAGGGTGAATGCTTCCCTAGTAGTCTCCCTGTTCTCTGAGATCAGGAAGCTACTTAGACACATCTGGTAACATTAAACCATGACATTTTGGAAAGCTTTGCAATCTTCAAGTTTCGTCTGCCCAAACTGTAGCCCAGCTGTCCTAAAGAAGTTCCCAGAATGGAAATCATTACTGGTGTAAAAATAGGGGTTGACAGCCCAACAGGAAAGATCTTGGGATCTGCTCAGGAAAATTACCATCAGCATCCTGGATCCATGCTATCTCCTGCACCTCTCCACTGCATGACTTGGCTGGCACACAAAGAGCCTTCACTCAAAGAATGGGGAATTAAAAATTAATCCATTTTTACATACTTTTATGTCTCACACCTATTACTTGACTCCTGGCAAATTAAACTCACAAAATGTCTCACTTCCAAATACAAACACATTTCATACCTAGGCTGATAAATCCTCACTGCAATTTTTTAATGCAGTGAGAGTACAGGCATGAAGGAAAAGTTGGCAGCAGGTCACAAGGCAGGGTGCTAAATACACTGTAAACAACAGCCCACTCTCCCTCACCTCGCTAGAAAATCCTGTAGATAATCAAAGCGCTTGCTTTCTCACACAAGCACCATTAGGTGAATAAAAGTGCTGCTGAGCCCTGCATCAGCTGCAGCCCCAACACATGGGAGAACCCTCCCTGTGTGCTCAGAGCTTGGCCTTTTCAATTAGGAAATGTTATGAAGAAAGGTCGCCTCAAACACCTCTGGACCTGATTTTAATTTACGTAATACCACATTTTCATGTTAATAACAATGTGTATTTAAGACATCTGTTTGAAAGTCTGCAATGTTAATTTACTACAGAAAAAGAGCGCCCATAAAAGTCTGTTATATTCTCTTTTACTTTTTTTTTTTTTTTTTAATTAACATTTTGCCTGTTTAATGGGTGCTTTACCAGAGTTCAAATTAAAATCAGGCCTTTTATCTTTATGGCTGCTGCACAGTCACAGCTGCTCACAGTTATATCACAGATGAACTGAGCCTAATTGAAAATAAAAATGCAAATAAAACCTACCCCATAACAGCTTTTCATGGATGGGGGCTACCCCAGATGATTTAAGAAAAATAAAAATGACTCCTAGAGTTTGCAAGATACAGAACCTTGGTTCACATTTTTGGTGCTGAGCTTCCCCCTTGTGTTCCACTTCTGCCTAAAATGTTGCTGGAAAGGCCCCTGGATACCCAGTGCCAGGCTGGCCACGGGAGTGGCTGATGTCCCCCACTTGCGCAGCCCCTGCAGAATGGGTGGCTTTGGTTTCTGACCACAGGACAGTGTGGAAAGGGAAGCAAATCTTTCCCATTTTAGTTTTGCAGGTTGCACTAACACTTAAGCTCCCAACAATTACTTTGCATTAATAACAGGCTGTTTAAAGCTGCTTCCTGCCCTATCCTAGAACAAAAGGAGACATAATATCCTCCCACTGTGACTTGGAGGCTCAGGAGGATTATGGTTCCTGGTGTGAACTTCCAGTGGATGTTCACTCCTTTCACCTTGCTTGCCACAGCATTAAGATCTCAAATCTCTCCCTATACTTGTTTAAACCACTGCAATTCCTTTTACTTCAATGATTCCCCTAAATGTACTCTGTCATAACTGTGAGACTGTCTCAAGAATCTTGCCTGCCATTTCTGCCACCATCTCATCAGGACACAGTGGTGGGACTAGTCTTCCCTGCAGGAAAATTTTCTCACCTACAAAATAATTCTGCTCTCGTGAGAAACCATTTCCCAAACGCACAGGCCAAGTGCCAGTGCTGCAAATTTAGAAATTTTATTTGGATTAAATGTTCCTGGACTACTGATGAATCCTAGAGGCAGACATAGCTGTTACAGCTCTCCCAGCCTCATCCACAGGATTCTGCCCCCTTCTCAGGGAAGCAAACCTGGAGCTGGATATACTTTTGCATTGGTCTGAAAAGGGTCACAAATGTCCATGCGACGAAACACATGGCAGTTGGATCCCTCCATGCCCATTTGCATGGTCTGGAGTCTTCCCCACTACATCTGCAGAGCTGTGGGCTTCTTGGTATATTCTTCACCAGCATGCGTTCTTCAAAATCAAGGCAAATGACATTTTACAGATGACCCGTAAACAGTTTTCCTATCAGTGTATCAATTTCAATATTGACTAAATCAAGAGGTGCAGCCTGTTGATAAAGCTGTTGATAACCTGTAAGAGTAATTTGCTACAAACAATGTGTTCCTGAATACCAGCAAATGTCCTTTTACAGTTACACTTAGACAACAGGTCAGATTGGTTTAACTATACATAGCCCAGACCTCAGAAAATACTACCCTTACCAATGTCACATTTTTCTCCAGTCTTCCCAGGTGGGCAAAGGCACTTCCCAGTCTCTGGATCACAAGGAGCATCTCCGCAGTTGCACTGACGCTGGCACTTCTCTCCAAACCAACCCCTGTCACAGCCTGAGAGCAAGAGCACTTTTTTTGACATACATTTGAACAGCAAGACGTACATTAAGCCAGAGGAGATTTCCCAGGATGTCTCAGAGGAAAGCTCATAAACTCGCCACTGAAGCTAGTGTAAATGCCAAGTTTAATGAAGAATCCAACATAGTGGAATAGGCATATTTACATTTATAAACTCTCCTTATGTTGGGTTTGTCTAACCTAACCTATCAAAGGTATCTGTAAATCTGTCCCAGAAATGTAACTGGCACTCATTTTCATTTTTAATTAGAACTCTCTTGAAGACCATTCCGTAATATTCAACAGGTCCGACATGCACCTATTTAATAATCTTATTTGGAGTTTCAGAAGCAAATTTAGAATCAGTAAAAAGGACTTATTTTTAATAAACATATGGAACTCATTGCTGCAAGACATCACGGAGACCAGGACTTTCACCATATTAATCAGAACCAGATCAGTTAATTTATAAGGAAATGAGGACACCCAGCTATATAACAGGTAAACTATCCCAAATTTAGCATTTCAGGATATTCAGAAAGCTTAAAACATGGAAGAAGTTGCTCTCAACAAACAAGTATTTCAGTAATGACATGGAGCTTTCCATTTTTGTTTTGTTTATTCATTTGTTGGGGTTTTTTTTTAATTTTACATCAGAGGGGAACAAGTACCTTTTTCACAGTGGACACCTTGATAACCCAAAGGACAAATGCATTGTCCTGTCACTGCATCACAGCTTGCTCCATTTTTACAGGCACATGCATGAAGACAGCTTAGCCCGTAAAATCCAAGGGGGCACCCTGAAAAAAATGGAAGTATCAAGTGAGGAAGGTTTATGAAGAAAAACATACATCCCTTATAACTTCTCTGTATTCTCAGCTACATCTCCTGGGAGCCAACAGAAATTACATTTACCATTAACTCTAACAATGCCAGGTGCTTTTAAACTTGTACTGCCCCAGCATCAGAGATATGCAAGTTACTCAGACCTGGAGCAGCTGGGTGATCTGGGACACCCCAAAAATTTCAACAGAACTGGTAAGGTGTTTATGTGACTACTCTGAAGCGCCACATCTAGTCACTTGGAAAACAGGGCACTCGGAGTGCCTCCACTTACTGTGCTCACAGGAGTGGCCATAGTAACCCTCAGGACATCGGCAGCAGCCTGTGAACCTGTCGCAGGTGCCATTGTGCTGGCACGAGCAGTTCAAGACACAGCCAGACCCATACTTCCCTGGGAGACATTCTGCTGGCAGAACACAGACAGAAAAACAGACGAACAAACAAAAATAATCACTGATCTCACCCAGAAAAACTCTTATGTGACAGTTTATACAATAACTTGCAGACCCAAGGAGAACGTTTGTTATGAAGACACAGCATTTCTGCACAACTATGATGTATTGTATGTATTGTATGATGTATAGTATGTATACATACTTGGATGAGAATTTTTTTATATTATATAGACATTCAGACAGCAATTTCCTTGTACCTCTTATAGTCCATCTTTTTAAATCTGTTTATTCGTGCAGTTAATGTTGAACACACACCATGTTGTAAAACCACACAGTAAATGGTATAAATGGTATCTTTTTTATTTTTTTATTTTTATTTTTTATCTAATCTAGAGCAATAATATATTTTAGGCACTTAGAAAGTGTGAAACAAAACATGAAGCTTTTCCTCCTCTGTGTTATCACTGGAGTTCAGACTATTCCAACTCCTAATAAAATGAGGGATCTCTCCTTCACAAATAGCAACAGACTTTCCATATATAACGAGATATCTGCTTTTACAGAACTAAACATGTCTCAAATTACTGAAAGTCAAGTCATGCAAAAGTGACTGTGCCAATATAATTAACCTAGACATAATTTCTGCATAGGTTCACTTCCCACTGCTGGGATAATGTGAATCTGATCAGACCAACTTAAATTAAGTGTGGTGGTCTAAATAATCAAGGTTCATAGCTCTGCAAACGTCAGACAAGATCTCTTAAGAACATCGTATCTAATCACTAGGAAAAGGATGCCTGATTAGCAGTCTTCAACTTACAGTCAAAACACAGTCAGAACCACACTGCTGGGGAAATCAAGACTCCATTTTCCAATAACTTGGCTATCTCTCACAAAAGATAAACCTTGAAGCTCTTTCTAGTGGTATAACACACAGTCCCTTATACGATGTCTTCAGGGATGTTTAATCTAAGCACATCTATAAGATACACCCACAATCTGCTGCTCCACGTGGTGACACCTGCATGACCTCCTGAGGCTTTGCTACTCCAATGCAGCCTATGGGTCATTACAGAGATTTCAAGGAATGGACAAACAGAGGTGAACACAGGTGGTCTGCACAATGCAATGTTAGCCAGTTATTGGTAAACTGCATTTTTTAGTGCCTGTCCATAGTGGTATTCACACTGTGAGTGGCTCCACATAGATAACATCATTCCTTTCCTCCCTGCTCCTTCTCTGCACACATGTATCTGTGAAATGGGTCTCTGAGTCTTCTCCTGAGGTTCAAAGTGAAACAGCTGCATTAAAGAATGCTGCTAAAAAATGCAATTTTTATGTGACACTTTAGATAGGCATACTCCCCTAAAACAACCAATTCTTGGTAAAGGTAAGTATGGAGTTTGATGTGGACATTGTACAGATGTCGGGGACAGAAAGGCTGTAAGTCAGGGCCTGGGAATGTGTAGGGGAGATTGCACCATGGCAGTTACAACGTAATGATGACATCTGTCTTCAGCATGAACTCAGAACTATTTTTATTTCATACCAGTAAACTCATGGTTTCCTGAACATTTAAATTCATAACTATATAGATATCTCTCATGTAGAGAGAGAAATGGGAACACAGAAATGCAGAATGATTTCTGGGAGATGGACAGAAGGAAAGATGTCGAAAGACTGTACTCAGGAGTGGCAGGAGGGTTTCTGGAATGAAAACTGAGCCTATTCCATTCTAATGAGCTGTGTCTTGCATAAGGAAGAGCTGTCATGGAGTAGTAAAGGTGAAATAGCAGGATAATCTCAATTGCTTTGGACAGATGTTGTCAGAACTATACTAGCAGGGAAGCCAATACATGGGAAGTTTAACTGCAGTCCAGTGTCAAAAGGAAGAGAATAACAAGAGAGGAGGGAAATGCAGGATTCTGCTGACCTTGGAGAAGCACATGAAAGAAGATACAAAACAATGTTCCCATGGAACAAAAGAACATGAGAAGTTGGACATGAGAAGAAACAGAGTCCATGCAAAGGGATTTATAAAAATTACAGAGCAGGACTCAGGAGAAAACTATCTCTGAAAAAAGACCTAAAGCTCTAACTAGGGGCAGTTCTGTGTGAGAGAAGCTAAGAGATGAATGCAGCTGGGAGGGACCCTACTTAAGCAGTCCCTTTTGTGGGTCTGTACCTGTAGACACCGTGAACCCCTGTTTGAACACACACATTCACTGTCATCAAAGCAGAAAATTACCTTTCTCACACAATCTTCCTGTCCAGCCGAGCCCGCAAGTGCAGTTGCCATCCATATGGTCACAGATACCACCGTTCTGACAGGTACATGTCAGGAGACAGTTGGGGCCATATTGTCCCTGGGGACACACTACAGAGAATTAACAGTTTGAAAAAAAGAAAAGAAAAATTAGCATCCCAAAAACGGATGAAGGTGATGGAAAAAATACAAAGACATGCTCCCCACAGAGTATCCCAAGTGCCTTGTGTCTCCAGAGGGCTGACTCTACTCCATGCTTATTAGCAGTTTCATCCAAACACTCTCTGTCCCATCATAGCTTCTCACTTGGCTTAACTCCACATTCACTCCCTTTATTCTCCTTCCTCTGTCCCATCTCCCAACTCCCCCTCTTCAAATCTTCTCCATTCATTTTTTTCAGTTCAAGCAATTTGCTTCTAAATTTAGTCCTATCTATCCACAGCACGCTCACACTGCTCGTGTCAGGTGGCTCAAACTACCCTTTTCACCTTGCTTATGCTCTGTTTGGACTGCAGTCTCTGAAAGGAGTTGCTTCAGCTTTTTTGAGAAATTGGTGCAATGGTACCAAGTATAGTGGAGCAAAGCAGTGAGATGTGGGCAGGAGAAAGGCAGGGTGATGGAGCAGAGAGGGACGGGGCAGAGTACAGTAATCACAGTGTTATCAAGAAAAGGCATTGGGAAACACACTTCTAAACAATGTTTGGTGCTGAGTTTTATTTGCTGGTTGTTCTAAGTATGTCACCAACTGACAAGATGACCTTGGGTCCTGCTTTGTTACCTTGCTGACAGCTGGGTCCCATTTGGCCAGGAGGACAGGTACACTTGCCAGTCTGTGGGTCACACTGACCTTTACCACATGCACAGAACAGGGTGCAGTCCTTCCCATATCGGTTTTCAGGACAAGCTGAAGGTAACACATTCTTTTGTTAAACACCCTGGGTATCCAATGCCAGTTTTCATTTTTAACATAGGCAAGATCTCAAAGGTAGAATTGGCTTTGGTTTTATTCCAGTTACTGTGCTGTAAAGCAACAACTATGAAACCAAACCCCATCCAAAGACATGACTGCTTCATTCTCTGAAACTTTACTTAAGGTTATAAACATAACCCATGGCTTCACATGGAACATTTAGTAGGTTTCCTAACGAAAAGGTGAGTGTACAATTGAAATATCAGCTGTGCATCATTTCAGCTAAAGACTTCCAACACAAGTCCTTCCTTCCTTAATATTGATGCTGTCCTGTGCTGAAGAACAAAGCTATATAGACTACTAAACATTAGAACACTGCCCTTCTGTGAATAAATTGAAGAGAACTTCACAGAGAACATAGCTTTGGAAATAGCACAGAAATTCAGCCACAAAATTTAGCTCTGAAATAGAGAAGTAGAAGTAGAGTTGCCATGGAGTCTTTACCAGTTTTGCCATGACAAAACTTGATCTTTTTCCCATTTATTGAAACTAATGGCAGCACAGTGTGAAGCAAAATATTTGAGCTAATTTCTCAACCTAGAAATTTTAGACAGGAAGAAGGAACTTCAGCAATTCATGCTGAGCTGGCTCTACAAATAGATTTGGGCAAGCAGGTTGTAATCCTGGGATGAGTGTCCTTGCTTCTACACATGCAGAAAAGAGGGAAAATATTTTGCAAGAGATTTTTTACAAAGCTGGAATCCTGATTTACAATTCAAGGAGGAGGCAGCTGGGATCTGTCTGTTTTTCTACTGACAAGCTCTTATGCAGATTACTCTTTCTGCTGTTTCTTGAAAGAAGCAGAACATGAATGTTGGCTTACTTTTACTACAGTCGGCTCCAATAAAACCAGGCGTGCAATCACAGGTTCCCGACGTGGGGTCGCAGTGGCCTCCATTCATACATTTACAGAGGTTTTGGCAGTTTGAACCGTAAGTACCGTTTGGACACCCTATTTTAAAAGAACAAAACAGCAATTAGGCTGTCTGCTATTGGGTCCATTGCATTTCATGTCATAAGTACTTTTGTTACTTTCAACCAAAATAAGTTTTTCATTTTCTAACTCTATTCACTTCTAGAGGGCCAGGAGAAGGCACTGACAAGCAGATGGCTGCCTCAGGCAGTACAGTCCATTGGGCAGCAAGGCAGCACTGACTTGCAATGGCAAACTGCTGGAGAGCTGGACCAACTGCTGCCACAGATCCTGGTCTGACTATTCCTGGCTGTCTGCTCCTCCCACTCCTCATACGTGACAGCAGCAAGAAAAGCAAACCCAGTTCTTCAGAAGTTTTCCTCTTGGATTTCTGTTCCAAATCAACCTGTTGACCCTTTCCCTCCTATGGTGGAGATGGAGAGATGGGGACCTGGTCCCTCTTCCTTTGAGCAGTGACATCCTAGTTTGCCTGAGGTGGTGAAAAGCTGCGAGCCATCTCTGCCTATTTTAGCAGTCATTTTAGCTGACCAGTTACGGATACTGGAGCAGGTCTCACCTTTTAAAGATGTTAAAGTTGGAGAAAGTTTGTTTCCCCTATAATCTACTATTTCCCTCCAAACTGAAGTTGGCATTGCTCTGGCACATCTAGTGCTGTGGATGGAAGACGATGAAAATGTACACAGAGAATCAGAGAATCATAGAATGGTTTGGGGTGAAAAGGACCTTAAGATCATCTAGTCCCACCCCCCCTGCCATAAGCAGGGACACGTCGCACTAAACCGTGTTGTCCAAGGCTCTGTCCAACCTGGCCTCGAACACCGCCAGGGTTGAAGCATTCACAACTTCCTCGGGCAACCCATTCCAGTGCCTCACCACCCTCACTGGAAAGAACTTCCTTGTATCTAATCTAAACTTCCCCTGTTTAAGTCTGAGGCCATTACCCCTTGTCCTATCACTACAGTCCCTAATGAAGAGTCCCTCCCCAGCATCCTTGTAGGCCCCCTTCAGATACTGGAAGGCTGCTATGAGGTCTCCACGCAGCCTTCTCTTCTCCAGGCTGAACAGTCCCAACTTTCTCAGCCTGTCTTCATATGGGAGGTGCTCCAGCCCTCTTATTATCCTCGTGGCCCTTATCTGGACTTGCTCCAACAATAACATGAAATTTCAGAATACACCTTCTCAGAAGATAGATACAGGAGAGAGATGGTTTAAATGCAAAGCCAGAAAATTCTCTGAGTAAAAACACAAAGCAGCTGTATTCATAATAAGCAGAAGAGACACGGATGGATTGCTGAGCCAGGGTTACATGGCAACGAGCTGTCCATGAAGAGGTTTTTGAGGTGGTAGCAAGTATTTCTGGTTTCTTTTTGGACAGCTGATGTTGAAGGAGCACTGAATACAAGATCACGAAGACATGAATGCATCTTCCATTCTTAGCTCATGTCCTCAAGATACTCTGTGGACAGATGGAGCATGGAACTGAGGTAAAGAGCTGGGCAGAACTGCTAAGCATGTGTGTCTGCCTGTCAGGGTTGCCTCCAGTGTGCCATCACTGAACTCTGGAGGTGGAGGTTATTAAATTTTTTCACTGTATTGGAATAGAGAGAAACTGGAGCTTTTAGAGCAACATGATCATAATCGAACTGTTATACTACTGCTACTACATCCACATGTTATTTTTTTGCTCCTTCCTTCTCTTCCCCTGGAAAAAGGAAAGCCTACAGCTGATTTGGAAATCTGGTTGAATATATATTTGTGCACGTCTCCAGGCAACAGATCTCTCTCAATCTGTGCGTAAGTAACTTCACATATTTTTTCTCTCTTTTCTGAAGGCATGAAAGCATGGTCTGAGTGGCTAGTGAAATCTCTGGATTTTTTTAACTACTCAATAGAGAGGGAGAGCTTATGGTGAAGCTTTAAAGTGGACTCTTCTAAAATAAAACTGAAAATTGGCTTCTCCTCAAATCAGGATAGCAGATCATAAGAACCAAACACATACACACTTTTATACCACGCAGATACTTGCCCCAGCCCTTCTCAAACATGGCTTCTTCTCTATGAATACTTTGTCATCAGTGCTTCCATCTGTCAGTACATAAAATCTGTTTCATGTGCAAACCCTGGCATCAAGGAGTGAGCCCTGCAACATCTATTTCATTTACAGCAAGACATGAAGTTAAGGACACACCCAGATTCAGTGATTCAGTTGGTCTCTCAGGGAGTTTCTCCTCTTCTCCCCCCTTTCGTTCCAGCCATCATTTGGCTTTTCTCTTTTTTTATTTCTGTTTTCCACAGTCCCAAGCATGTTGCTTCTCCCTGGCAAAGCCCTCAGAGTGGTTCCTCAGCTGAACACTAGCAAAAGCTGCTCCATTACTGAAACAGTAAATGCAGTAACTCCCACCCTTACAAATTTATTTACCCTTGCAGCGCTTTATTTATTTCAGTTCAACAGGGAGCAGCACAAAGCAGGGCAAACACATCAGCTGCAATGTTCACATGATGATTAAGAAGGCCATCTCATCTGTTACTATTTTGTAGAAGAACTTCTATGCAGATAGCTAGGGCAATTTACATAGCGTCATGCCATTTAAGTAGGCTCTGCCTTCATAAAGAGGATTAGCCTCCAACCACCAGTTATCTCATAAAGACATTTTCTAATTTAACAGTTTCCTGTGCATGAGACTTACGTTTTTCTGAGAACGGCAGGAGTGGCAGCCAGATTTATAACTCATTTCCTGATTTTCTCCTTCTGATTTGGGTGGGTTTGCCATGACCAAGAGCTCCTAAATCTTTTCATACCAACTGCATACACTGGGGCTTTTCTTACCAGTTATTAATTGCATTGTCAAAAAAAAAAAAAAATCACTTCTGAAGCATCCTGTTACCTACTGTTTGAAGGTTAAGCTGATGAGGTCTTTCTGGCCCAGGGTTCACCCAGCCCAGTAAATGTCACAGAGACACAGCATGTTTTTTTTTATCCCTTACACCACCACTTACTGCTTTTTATTCATAACTTCACTCAAGTAGATCTGCCTGTCCACTGAGTTATGGACAATTGATGGGAACCTTATTGCTAGTTTGTCTGCTTCCTCTGGATCCTGCCAAGAGACTGTTTCAGCTCTTCACTCCAAAATTTGAGAACATAAAAGCCTCATTGCTCTTGGCTCCTGGAAATTTGACTTCCCAGCCAACTACACCTTTTATAGATACTTTCTTGAACCCTTTTTCACAGCACTATAAATATACCAATAGTTGCCAGAAAATACCTCCAGCAGCATCCAGCCACATGTTGACTGGACTGAAGCCCATTTCACATCTTTGGGAGCGGCTCCCTATGCTGTTTTCAATATTATATCGAAAACTTCTTCATCCTGGAGTAGTCCTACTTCTCCCTGTAGTGAGGATGGTGGGAACATGCAGTATTCCCACCAAAGTAACACTAGCTATCCTTGGTTATCAGACAGTCACTTCAGAATCAGGTCCACAATGTCTCACTTCACGAGCCTAAACCTAAAAATAACTCACTCTTAATCTGTTTTCCTTCAATTTTTATGTCTATGTGATAGTCTGAGTGGCACACGGGAGAACAGGAAAAAAAAAAGCTCACATAGATGCAACCTCTCTGAACCTCCACCATTCCATTACCTCTCCAGCAAACATTTAACAAAACCATACTAATTAAGAATTTGCTTCACAAAACATTATGTATTTTTGGAATTGAAGAGAACACAATACCATCACGACTTACGTTTCAGACGTTGTAGGTTTAATCCTAGCTACACAGAGTTCTGTGGCGAAATTCCCTCTGAATGCAATGAACCACAGACTTCATTTTGTAAGTAATTTCTTTTTATATCACAACTTCAGTGTAATTATGCTTTAAATTTTAAAATTCTGAAATAAAATCTTAAGGATCTAAGCAAGCTTGATAACTTACTGTAATCTATAGAGATTTAGTACTACATGCACAGGTAATGACTACTGACAGATTGCTACATAAAAGTAACAGGCTAACCATGATTAAGTCTTTTAAAATGATACTGTTAAATAGTTGATCTCTACTACTGCTCTACCATAACATTTATTATAATCTAATGTATAATGGATCCAGATGGCTTGAGCCTAGATGTTGAAGGATGGATTTGATCTCACAGTGAGAACTCATGTACAAAGAAGGATAGAATCAATCCTTACATTTACATTTATATTTTAAAGAATAATTTGTGATGACATGGTGATAATAAAAATGTCCATCTCTAGAATAAGCCTCTCTCCTATTTCTACTGGAGGAATAAAGCATAGGTTTAACCCTTACTAGAACCATATGCATTGCAGCTGGCCTTTGTACCCAAAATATCACCCCAAAAAGCAAGCAAACCAAACAGAGCCACACTGGATTCCATGGTTTGCCAAAGACAGGAAGACTGAGCTTGAAAGACCACAGCTTTTTTTTTTTTCCTTTTTTAAATGAGACTTACAAGCCATGGAGTAAAAACAAAATTAAAGTTGTAAATAAAAAGGTAATAAACTGTCTCCTTCATTGGATACTTTGGTATATGTTTCTTATCAGTTGCCACATTCCACCAGAAACAACTTTACAGATGTCCTAAAATACCGGCATGCAGCATGTGAATCTGGGAATATTTTTTATGATGGAATGTTCAGCCAATTGGCATTTGTCCTCTACACTAGTCACCACTTTTCAGTCCTGAGTAACAATTTGTTTAATTTGATTGTTCCTCAAAAGACCCTACAACTTAACTGACTTTATGAATCACTTAGATTTATTGCCAGTTGCAGCTTGTTGTTTTCTAATAACCATTTGTCCTTACTTGAACACGCAGAGATTTTGGCCTAGATATTTGGAAATGAAAGAGCTACACAGTATTCAGGTGTAAATGAAGAGAATGATATTGATGTTCCTCAGCATGGCATAAAAGTGGAAAGAATTTAGGTAGTAAATGAGTCTTTTTTACATTTTTTTCCATTAATCCCTTGCAATAATACAGGGGGGTTTGTGCTGTAAATTTATCCCAGCCTATGCTTATTTCTTATAGTATAACTTACTTTTTATAGTATAACTGACTTATATTTATGTCAGTCATCACTGAAGGTACTGACACAGACGAACTCAAAATGCCAGCACATGCTTGTGCATAACTTGATCCTTGCTCACAAAGTAGGCAGCCCACAAAGATACTCACGGAGGTCACAGCGAGCCCCGTAGTACCCTGGGCGGCACATGCAGTTGCCAGTCACTGGGTGACATTCCTCATTCTCAGCAGAGCACTGACATACTTGGTTACAGTTCTTGCCATATGTGCCTGGTGGACAAGCTTGGGGAAGAGGAAATGTAAACCAATAAATTAAATTTGTCTTGGTAAATATAGCACACAAACAAAGAGCAAGCTCAAATTTATTAAATAAAAGCCCTGCCTACAGAACGACACTCTCCTCTGGGACTTTGGATTTATTACATTTACTTGGGGGTTACTTCACTGCTTGATTTTGTTTCGTTCAGTCAATTTGTGCCCAACTGTCAAGGGCCAGATACAATTTTCTTGTCGCTAAAAAAAATCATAGGGAAATGTCAGGTAAAATTGACTAAAATAACAGCATAATTCACAAGAGACCAGGCATGTGGATAAAGACATTCTACCTTTTGCAGGAAGTTTAAACTTGCAAAGCTTCTGTAGCACCAGCATCTTTACAGGTTTCATTTTCCCTGTTGACAGCCATATTGCCTAGAGGTTTTGGACATTCTACATCGAATTCTTATGTCTCACTTCCATTAAGTTTCTCTGATTGTGGATCAGGATTTAACAGTCGTTTAGTGGAGGATACGGGACACCAATGTCAATTCTTTTAATTCTTTTTTTGCTGTCGTTTTTCTTTTTGCTAAAGCAGTGCTTAGGCTAAACACGGTAAGGAACAACAAAGTCAAAATTATGCAGCTGGGGTCACAGAATGAGTCTACTTTCAAAGCCAGCTCCAGACAGCCAAACTCAACACTGAAGAAAAAACAGATAATGACATTTCCATGAGCTCTGAAAATAGATGGTCTCTCATGGGGACAAGGCCAACAGAAAGCAGAGCTGGTGCTTTACCCATGGCACAGTAATGCCTGCAGGCTGGGCTCTGCAAGCACCTCCTTAGTCTATTTTGATCCAGCTTAGCCCCCAGCTTCTCCCTGCCAGCCTGAGAGCTGCAAACCTAGAGAGGGCAAACCTGGCAGCCCAAACTGTGCCAGGCACAGGGGTCAGAACTGGCCAAATCATTTGGGTGAGTGACAAGCAGCCCTTGTCCATATCCACTGCTGTGAGGTTGCTGTTTCCTCCCTCTTCAGGCATTTTATCATCAGGTTTTTATTTAAGAAATTAGTTTCTTAATTAATTTACAAGGGAAGTGTTTGTATTCTGATAACAAACTTACTTTTCTCACAGCTGTAGCCAGTGAATCCTGGAGGACATCCACACTCGCCTGTCAGGTGATGGCAGGGGGTACCCATGGGACACCGGCACCGCTGGGCACAGCCCACACCATAGCGGCCAGGTAAGCAAGCTGCAACAGTGGCATAACGGGGCAAAGTTACCCCCTCCAATGGATCTGCTGCACTCATACCCATAAGTACTTCCAAAACAAGCCCATA